CAGACAACCTCTCGTCAATATGCGTTTTCTGCATTGCATAACTGCAAAAAACGCATAAAAAAACGGTGAAAACGAATCTCAGCAAACTAGCAACCTAGCAGCATCAGCAAGAGTGAGAAGGAAAAGCGGGAGGAACGGACTGCTTGACTCCGTCTAATGATACGACCAAAATTGGCATAAGTCCAAAAAACTTCAATTTCCTAGCTTCCGTGGTTCCAGAGATAACGATTTTACCCGACAAAGCTTTAACGGGAACGTATATGTTACGCAAAGGCTGAATTTCCGTGGGTGCGGGAAGGCTGAATTTAAATTTTTGGGGTCACACGTTGGTGAGGAACACTCTACTAAAATTTCAGCCGCCTAGCTTTTGCGGTTCCCGAGTTGAAAGTGTGGGACAAAATCTCGGGGACACACACACACGCACACACATAGACAGCCTTATAACAATATGCGTTTTTTGCTGCTGTTACACAGTGGAAAATGCATGCAAAAAATAATTCTAGGATAAGTCTAGGATAAATGATAAAACAATTACTTGCTGCCGCTTTTCCGTTTGACTTTTTTCTCCGATCGTCTTTTCTGTGAAAAATAATTTAGCATTTTTGAGCAGTCCGGACATAATCGTAGCTTTACTAAGGCATTCTTTTTGATCCCGTCTTCTATATATGCAAAATTGACCTGAAAAGACATCCATCCAGCAATTTATAGTAAGCAAAACCAAATATATCGATCTCTATGAAAAGGAGAAAATTGATTCAAATTTTTTTTATTCACTACCGAAAAGCTTCCCAGTACACTACGATTATCATAAAATCCCGCACCAGCCATTGTTACTAACCACCATTATCTTCGTTCATTTTTAATCGTTCAGAAAAAAAAACACCTACATCATACCTCCCAGCTCGCAAGATCCTGCTTTTTATTGCACCGTTTATTACCGCATTCAAACTGACCCTTTCCGGATTTAACTTCTCCTTCAATCCGCCATCTCATAGCTATTCTGAAAAATTTTGAAAATTACTTATTATCCAGGCATGTACGTTTGTATTTGCGATATTTTTTGAACATTTAAAAACGCTCAAATATACCAATTTTAACATTCTATCAAAAAGTTTATAATAAAGTTTCGCAGCATACCACTTTCGAAGCAATTCTGATATGTTTCAGGATAAAACGACCGCAAATTTTAACATTAATTCATTTTTGTGTTAAAAATGCAAATTTTTATATTAAAAAAAAAGTGGAAAGACCAATCGACATGACCGAGAACCTGTTCTTTTTATATTGCGAAAGATCAGCAATGCAATATTCTTTGAAAAGTTTGTCATAGTATCGCTTGGCCAGACGCGCTTCCCACGATTTCTCGGCTGCTTTCGCTAGCTAAATTGAATAATATGCAAAGTACGATCAAAGTTATGAAATCAGCAATATAAAATAATCTATTAGTTTAGAGCTCTTGAGACTAATAGATTATGCTAGCTGGATTCAGTGCATTTGAAAAGTGACTGTCACTTCCTCACCCCGACATTACTTACAACACGGAATACCAAGAACACCAAGACCATTAAATACCAAGAATGCCAAGACCGCTCCGGCTATCAATGTGAGTATTTGTACAGCAAGCAAAAGATGGCACGCAGAAGAAGCGAAGAGCAATCCAGAATCGCGCAGCAGATTGACTTGTGATCTGTCCCGCCCTTTGTGATGAGTATTTAAGCCTGTAAATTTGTTGTACAATTCAGTGTGCTTAGTGTTCAGTATCGTCGTTCAGTGTCCCGTGCCCCGTGTTCGTGATTGGCGTCCAGCGGTCCATTGCAGCAATGTGTTGCTGCATTTCAGTTATTAGCACTCTTCGTCTGCAGCGGTTGTCGTTGCAATCGTCCGACTTGATCCCGTCGCCCCAACGACTCACTTGTAAACTTGTATTAGTGTTGATAAAGTTCGTTTTTTTTACTCCAATCTCTCGCCGCTAAGCGCCTACAGCACATTAGCATTCATTCAAATCTCGACCGAAGCTCGTCGTAACAGCATCGTAACGCCATCGTCGTCGTCGTCGCCGTAACAGTGGTGTTACCAGGATGTTTCCACATGCCGTGCGCAGCTACGCCAGGCCTTTCAAATACTATATAACATAAAATGCTTGTTTTCCTAGTATTAATTTTCAAAACACTGATACATGCCAAGCATATTATAAAACAAAGGAGGCGAAACCTCATCATCATCCCAAAGAAATTTATGATTATCTCTCAGCACATCATAATCCGTGCGATCTTTCGATGTATCTCGTTGTAGTTTTGCTGTAGCTCCCGGATAACACAAATAATAATGGTTGATCAACTCCTTATGACGCGAATAAACATCCATCGTCATCAGGCGTCTTTTTTGCCTAAAAACACAGATTAAGATAGTCGAAAATATTGTCAGGCAAACGGAACCTAGAATTATTTTTTTGTACAAAATGCGCAACAATCCTTCACGGGATGGAACCCCCCTCTCCCCTCTTGATGGATTCGGCAATGGGAATAAAAAGTTACCTCTCAATGAGATATAAATTTTAGTCAATAAGAAAAGAATTTTATACACGGCATCAAAATCAACTCAAAATATATTTTTTTTTAAAATTCAGTAGTCGAGAACTTTCATAATTTAAATTTCCGATTCGTAAACAACAAAAGACCGCAGTGTTTTTTCTCAAAACTATTCATAAATATCCCAACCCCAAAAAAAGACCTAGCTGTTTCACAAATGCAAGATTGTGAGTCAAAATTTTGAGGCTCAAAAATAAAAAAACAACACAAACGAGGAGGGCAAAGACAACGATTCCTGTATGTAAGCGCAAAAAGATTACCCGGAATAATGAAATGCTCCCAAACAGTTGGCGTAGTAACTATGCAAATTCTACTATTTTGCGCTACAGATCTCTAACTACAGCATTGGCGGATCCAGAGAGGGAGGGGGTGTAGCAAGACCTTCGAGGAGGGAAGTTAGCGCGACGATTGAAGGGTGGGCTGGGAACTGGCCGAGAGGAAGGGGGGTTTAGTGACGAAGGAAGAAAAGAAGGTGAAAAATCCCCCCCCCCCTCTTCTCCCAGGAAACTGCCCTGAATCCGCCTATGAGATAGATGGCATCTATCTCTTCCCGTCCGAGAAACTGCCCAGAATCCGCCTATGGGCTAGAGCTATCTATCGCTTGTTCGATGAACCACAAAAAGACCGTACTTGAGTCGTCGGCCAAAAATTGGACAGATGCCATACAATTACAAGAACTTTAGTGGCCCTTATTTGATGAACCGTGATTCGCTACCCCAATAAGAGAATGAGTTAAATACCTCTCAATTCGAGAATGTTCGCTATCGAATATTCCTCGGGCCTTGTTCCGTGCTGGCGGAGCAATTTCGCCTGGTCGTGGCTTCTTCCATAATTCATCATCTCTGATTCCAGCTTTTTTTGTGCTGCTACTTCCTTCTGCTTCATCGGCATAATCAAATTCGGACTCCAAATCTTCATAATCAATTCCGGCTGCTGCCCGTTTAGTCATCCTGAATGGAAAGACAAGTATTTAAAAGTTTAAAAAAAAAACGCAAAAAGCTCGAAACTCGATCGCGAAAACATACATCAAAAACATTGCAACTAGCACAAGACGCATGGACTCGAGCATAACACAAGCAACACTGGGTGCTTACTCCGGATCAGTTACCATTACACGAATTTTGATGACATGTTACCTGTAATCTGATTTCCCCGTGACCTCGACAACAACCATCCACCTGTAAGTTTTCAACAACTCCCTTCACCGAATATTACTTAAAAGCAACGTGATTATGGGTTTCAGTTTTTTGCAACTGCTAGTATGCAATTAAAAGGAATGAACGGATAACAGACGCTTTGTTTTACCTCACGGGGCGAGTCGAATCGTTGACAAGCCAACGCCAAGGCCAGCGAATTAATGGTTGCAATATAAATATGCTTCACACAACTGTTGCGCTTTCTCAGGTGTCTTCTGTCTATCGTCGGTGAAAATTGATGAGTTAGTAGAGGACCCCATCATCTAAGATTCCCCAGAATACCTGAGATTTCGGAGGATTCTGAAGGTGAGATATCGTTTGATGATTTCGAACAGCCAAATAATTTGTTTTGCTGGGAGACCAAGTCCGGTTTGTCGTTCATTCACGATGCTAATTCTGGCAGAAACAGATCTCCACGCCTGAAGAATCTGCACGAAAGCCGCTGCTCTCGTTCGAGCTTGTTTTTTGACGGAGCTGAGTGCACAACGCCTGTACAACCCCTGTATAAAAGACACACATATCGATTGTGGGTCAAACGTAGATCAAGTCAAGACAACGCTGCTGAATGCTCTGCGACGCCGAACATTCCAGAACGCCTTTTAGAGCGGAACATTCTTTTTGAATGGATTTCGTAAAGCATCTAACAGTTTGCAAAACAAAATCCCAACCCCGGGGACGGGATATTGTTTTTTTATGCGTTTTTTGCAGCAATGCAATGCGGAAAACGCATATTGACAAGAGGTTGTCTGTGTGTGTGTGCGTGTGTATGTGCGTGTGTGTGCGTGTGTGTGTGTGTGTGTGTGTGTGTGTGTGTGTGTGCGCGCGCGCTGGGCCTCTGTACCGATTTTTCATCTC